TTCTTCCATATATCATTGGATGTATTGTTCTAATACTTTTAAAGTATTTCTTTGTCATATTGTGTATTGTCTGATTCCAGGCTAGATCTAGACAGCACTTACTGTATTATCTTTGGAGCAAGAAGTAATTTCTGCATGCTAAATTCACAGACCAGTTGAATGTGAGAACCTGGGGAAAATGGAAAACGTTCTCAGATTTCATTGAACAGAACTATTCTGTATTTTCTTCTGTTTTCTTCAATATGTTTAAAAATGTGGAGGCTATAATGTATCTATATAATGAGGCCTAAGCTAAATTGACCCAAAGTCATGAAACTACATCAGGACATAGGATGATTCAAAGAAAATGAATCCTGGTGAAGATTGTTTGTATTTTCGAAAGAATCTGGCTCCATGTCACACTAGCCTGGAAGTGATGCAGAGCCAGCTCGTGTCTGCTCTCTAAATCCTGTGACCAGTTTGGGCTAGAACCAGACATTCTGAGGGACAATGCTTTCTTCTCTGTTTATATGAGCTATTTTTTTTTCTGTAAAATTGAATTTATTGGAGTCCCATTGTATGTATTCAACAAAGCATAAAGATAAATGAAGGTGATATTTGTGTTTGGCTGCAAAGTCGAATCAAGAGTAGGGTTTAAATACAGAATTCTTTAAATCAAAGTCTTACTATCTTCTTCTACCTTGTTTTTTATTCATGTGATAGAAGTCCATTATGAGATCAGGTGTAACTGCAGATTTCTGCTCACATTTAGGTGAGTTTTAGGAAACAAAACTGTTTTGGGTTGAGATCTGACTGAAACAAAACCCGGCGAGCCAAGTTCGGATTCGAGAACTTCAGTGGAACTAGAGATGCATACAGTGTGAAGATGGAGATTCATGCAAGCTTATCTGAATTTAGGGGGTTTTGTTATAAAAAATAAAAATTGGAAACCAGTAATGAAAAACAAAACATATGTAAGCTCATTATTCTTACTTATGGAATACAAAATATCAGATTGTGCAAGTGTCGCTTATGTTCTGAAGCACATCAGTGTTAATTTGATTAAATATGTTGAGAAACATTGATTGCTTGGTTGATATACTGCTTATGTATAGTACACAAGCAATAACATGTGCCGTGTGAGTATTGTATACCAATATTTTTAGCCACTTGAGTACTCCACCATGAGATATCTGGATGCACGTTTTAGCACACTACAAAGAGAAATGTGTTTTCAGACTGCTACCCTGTGGGTTGTATTGGCATCAATTGCAAAGGTGAAAATGTTTGTTACTGCACATTTTGTTACTGTAGGCTTTGCAGGTGTTACGTGTACTTTTGCTGCTAGAGTTTAATGATTTTATCTTGTGGAAGTTTTTTGTTTGATTTGTCACTCTTGTTTTCAATATTTGCAGCAGGGATTTCCTTTGTTGTGCCATAGACTTTATTAGACTTTCCTGTCTAAGAGCAGGAAAACTTGTCTTCTGTCAAAAGACAGATATGCTTTTCAAGTTTGTTCTGGCTTAATTCTTTATTTTATATATTTATTTGTGTCCACTGTTTTTCCACATGATTTAATGCTGGCAATAGATTTTTTTCCTCCTTGTTTTTTCTATCTTCCTGCCATGGGACTGTTGATTCAGCTGTGTGAGTCTGAAGGATTATACGTTTTAGGGAGTTGTCTATAAATGGAGTTTAGATGGTGTTGAATAGCACTGTTTCCTTTTCCACTAAAAGGCAAACAGAATATCTTCAAATGCCCTTGTGTGTTAGGCTGTACCTCATGCATCTTTGTTGGCAGTGATTGGAATGTGAATGTTAGTGGATTTTAAACAGTTAGGGGAGATATAAAGTGTGGAGGACTAGTACTGGTGTCTCATACCAAATGCTCCATGAAGGAAAATGAAATGCCAAGTTCATAAGAGCACATTTTGTACGTATTTGATTTAGTTCTTTGAGTTTGCTGTTGCTGTTCTAGATTGCTTTGATAGTAACTTAGAATGGGTATCAGTGCAAAATACCAGTTAGTTTCCGTGACCTCTCCTTATTTGCTCTTTTGTCTCAATATTCTCAACAGATTGGAATCTGTGTTTAATATATTTTAGAGTTTGTCTGTATCTTACTGATGCTATTACAATGAAGGATTAAAATGACTTCTAGAGTATGGATATTTTTATATTTTGACACATATGTCCTAAGCACTGTTCTGATGTAGGCAATGGAGCTTTGGTATTAGTAGTCCTCCAGGGCATCCACAGCTGAAGTATGCTCTGCAGCAGCTGTTATCTGAATTAAATGTGTCAGCTGTACAAATGTAAAGAGCAGAAGTAAAACATAATTTAGTTGTTCGTAAACGTGAGTATTTGTAGCCACAACGGAGTACCCATGTCATAGTTTCGTGTAAATGTGAAGAATTGCTCTGGGAAAAATGGGGGATGGTTGAGGGCTGTTGCCATGTGGGTGACTAATTAATCAACCCAGGGAGTCCATTCAAACTGTAGAAGTTTAAAATTTGCCAAGCTCTGGTAGAACGTACTGTTTTCCCTCTAGTTAAAACAATTTTCTTGTAAGTGAGGAAAAAAAACAAAAACAAAACCCAACAACAACAACAACAAAAAACCACTAGATTTTTTTGGTATTCCCATTCTGGGAATTTTAGGTCCATGTGTAGCATGACTAACTGTGGCTAGAGAAGTCTGTGACATGTGGGTGAAACTCTTATAGCATTTATACTTTCAGTATCCCTTATTCTCAAGCAGGGCCACAAAATAAAATAAAGGAGCAAAATTATCATGCTGCATTCCTGGTCACCTGCCAGGGAAGTACTTTTAAACACCACAAACAGATCAAGGTTTTCTCTTTAAAGAATGATTCAGAGTGTTTTTCTGTCTTCCCCTCAGTCTTATCAGTTAAGTCTAAAGGCTATTGACAGTGGAGCTAGTCTGGCCATTGGATTGTGATTCTTTTGCTCTGCAATCACACAAAGATTCATAGATAATTTTGCATTGTATAAACCTGCTTTTCTGCTGGCAGGAATTTGAATAATTTCTAGTCTCACTGAAAAAACAATCAAGAAGTTTGCTCTAGTGTTACAATTTCATAACATGAAAAAATCTAAATTAATCAGTTTTAAAGCTAATTATGAAGCAGTTTCTTGTGTTGCTATTAATATTGTTACTTTGTTTATTCTCTAAACTCTTTAAGGCAAGGAAGCGTAACTGAAGGATGTCAAAGTATCTCTCCATTAGTAATGCTCTGTTGGTTAGCTGGGAGTGTGTTTTGTCCAAGCAGCATAACTCAATCAATACCTTTCTTGCCTGAGAGAGACGAGGGAGTCTCTGTGGCAAGCCAGCCTCCATGTACACACTTAGATTTTTCTTGTGTTTAATTGAATTTTGTGCTTCTGGGGCTGGAGAGAACAAGAACAGTTACCATTGTCGAATCCTGGATGTTACCTGTGTGTTTAGGGTTCATTAGGGTTACCTGTGCTTATGAATTGACAAAAGAAAGTAATCTGGTCCACATGGGCAGGTCTGGGGAAAGAACTGCTGTTTCCCTGACTGTCAGCCAGGATTCCTGCGATGGTCTTTGTAGGCACTTGGCACAGTTACATAGTAAGGGCTAAGTTCTGCTTTACTCTTAAGACTTAGGTTCAACTTCTTTATGAATAATAAATATTTTCTTTAATTTTACCACTTTATGTTTTCTACATAGAATAATTTTTGGGAAATTTGCTACTGTGATAATTAATTGATCTGTGAGTTAATATTAATTAGGGAATAGCATATGATTCTTTTTTTGTTACAAGTCACGATAATTAAAATTTCTAAATGAAATTTGGAGGTTGAACATTAGTACACTAAATAGTTATGAGGGTTGCTTTATTGTTAAAAAAAAAAATCACAGGACTTAAAAATGTCTTGATACACATTTGAATTGATCTGTTGAGAAACACAAGTGAAAACAATGCTGTTGGGGAATGGCCATGATGCTGGAAACATAATTATACTGTGTAAGTGAAAGATTGTTTTATACCACAGATGGAGAATATTGGTAAAGATTCATGCATTTTGATACTTCTCAGTTGAAATGAGTTAATTCCGTACAAACTTTTCTGTAGTGTGAGTAATCCATTTTGTGGGGTAGTGGTATTTGGGTCTGGTGGTTTTCTGTGCTGCTTGTTCAGCATTTATTGAGATGGTGTACAATATTCCTTTTAAGATTTTTCAAAAAGTATAGTAAGAACTGTTGAGCCTCTTCAGAAAATGCAAAATCGGACTGAATTGAGGTTAATGTTTGTTTATGGAAGGTGGAGCCTTCAGGGTAATACAGCAGGTGAATAGGTCACAGTGTTCAAGAGCAGCTCTATTCCATTTGCAACTAGAGTGTAAAAGTGTAACTTATACAACCAGGACTGAAAACCAGAGTTAGTTTTATTTCATAATATTTGAATGTTTAGAGATTTGGGTGGGTTTTTGTTATTAATAAAGGATACACCAACAAAGAGATTGATATCCTGTACACCTAGTGTTAGAATTAGAAACAGTCATAATAAAATGGAATTAATTTTTGGCCTCTGAAGAAAAGCCTGACTGATTTGCTGGGTTTGTCCGGGCGTATGAAATCTTTCACAGTGATGAAAATTTGTTGGTGAAAGGATTATTATTTTTATTATTATTATTTAAAGCCTCCATCAGCACACATATGCACTAACAGACCATTTCTGAAGCAGAAGGTCCCTCACTTTACTTTTCTTGGCAAATTAATCCAGAAAGATTTTTAACAGATTTCACATCTCTTTAAAGATTTTTTTTTCTTGTAGTGTAACCAGCATCCTGATTAGATGTAAACTTGCTGTGAAATTAATTGTCTTTTTATTCCTTTTTCTTTTTTTAAACACTTACTTAGTTCTTATGGGTCTGCACTTTTTAGTCCAACTGAATCAGTTACATGTTAGTGAACAGAAGTTTATTGTGTTTAACTTGTGCTATTTACCTTTTTTTTTCTTCTTCCCCCTATAGGTATATTCGAATTGTTGGGACCCACAACACAGTGAACAAAGTTTTCCATATTGTGGCATTTGAATGCATGTTCACAAACAAATCCTTTACTCTTGAGAAAGGTCTGATAGGTAAGAGATGAAACTGTTTTCCTTTTACGTGAACTGTTGTGAATGCTTGTCTTTTAAAGCTGACCATCACTGCACTCTTACTCCTGTTTCCACACAGAAATCTCTCATCTGAGTTAAACAGTGCTGTAAGCATAGAATTAGTAGGGCAGTTCTTGCAACTTCTTTGAAATTCCAGTTTTGTGGATTAATTAATGATGCTGCAGGAATGCTGAATTCAAATTACATCAACTGCTGCTGACAAAGCTACTGGTAATTGAGTCAGTCTGTGCTGACAATCTAATTTTTCGTTGCATGTCATAGTATGGTTACTCTTTCCTCCCACTCAGCCCAAATTCTTTTACAAGAATGAAGTAACCAGAGCTATTTATTGCAGTGAAGATGGATTTGGTCACTTAGGGACTCTTATGCAGTCTAGTTTCAACTGTTGAAAGTAAACTCTCATGTGTTGATTTTCCCCTAAAGAGTCGTAGACTACCTTAGCCATGGCAGAACGTTATATTGGCTACTGTTATTCTCAGAACACCATGTTGGTGGAGCTCTGTTAGCTCTGGACAGCTTATATAATACTGATTTAAGTACCTTGACATTGCTTAAGGTGGAAATCCCCAGCAGACCAACACTACTGAATGATAAATAATGAATGACTTAATTTTTTTGAATAGTTAAAACAGAGTGGCTTATGTGCTTTCTTCCATTTATACTCATAAAAGTCAGATCTTCAAGTTCGTTGGAAAGAGTATTATGTGCCTTTTAGTAGTTGTGTAGATGGAATTTTCTCCAGTTTATTAATTCTGGCATGAAATTGAGAATTTCAGCAAAATTTTCGGAGTTCATGCTGATTTTAAATATATAAAGTATGCACCTACGACAGATGGAAGGGAAAACAGTTTTCAAAATAGCATGAGACACATTTATTTTATTTTTTTTCCCTGAGAAAACTCCTAATATTTACACAACCCTGAAGAATTTATTGTGAAAAAGGTACAAATGGGAAGATTTAGGGATTAGTTGAGGGCAGTCAAGTTGGGGGCAGGGACATAATGGCTGTTCCACCAGAATTTATGGTTATCAGTATTGCCTATTCAAAAATATTATCAACAACTTTGATCCAACAAAGTAACCTTATATCCATTTAGTACTTTTTTTTCCATACCTCTGATGGTTACCGTAAGGTACCATATTGTCTGGCTCCTGTGATCAAGCAGACTGTCCAGAGTCCACTTCTGTAAAAACTCTATAACTACCAGTGGTGTAGTTAGCACAGACTTATTTTATTGCTGTGATGAGAATTTGTGATGTTTATTTCTGTTTCTGTTTCTTCAGTGAACACAATAGGGTAAAGTGAACTGAAAGCAGTTAGGAAAGTTCCACTAAATATATGAAAGTGCCGTATTCAGAGTAGGTTGCTTTTAAGCTTGACTGAGTATAGAAGCTTTCATCTTCAACCCTTGAAAAGCAGTTCATTGGGTTCATTGCTTATCCCGTATGATATTAAATATGGTATTAAATTAGGTTAGAACAAACACAGCTGCTGTTTCTATAACCTGTTTTATTAAAAAGACGAAATATTGGTCAGCCCTTGAAGGCCATATGGCCCTTTTTAGAAAGACTTTGTGACCCTTACTTGTACCAAAACAAAACTGAAGATAATATGCAGAGACTTTACCGTTTGAAAACTCATTCCAAAGAAATAATGCCTCTGAGGTATTTGTTTAGGGATCTTATGTGCAGACTTAAGGATAATTTTTTTTTTTTGAAAGCTATCCAACTTGATCAGAAAGCTGTAGGCAAAGAGGGTAATTTTTCTGCTATATTATTACTGATACTTAATATCTATGTAATGGCTGTCACTGTAGAGTGAAGATTAGAGGGCTGGTAAACAAATAATAAAAATGAAGTACTGTTTCATGATAACAGTTTTATGTTGTTGTGTTTTTGCATACAAGGTTTTAATGGAAAATTATTAACTTGACATATTGCATTTAAAAGGTAACGTGAAAGATGATTTATGTGGTTACTTTACACAGTACTGGATATGGTATTGGCATGACCCAGTGATAACTGAGTAGTAGTTTTGAAGTAAAAGTAGCAGAAAATTCTCTTTCTAGCCCTGTGTGGTGTTTTAGTGTTGGTTTACACTTTGCTGTCTTGTGGAATGAGGAGAGTGACAGAAATGAATTCAATCACATGAAATTATTCCCTAATGCAGATGTTAGGGTTGAGATGTAATTTTTCGATTTGGCATAATATTATCTCTAAATGTGTGAGTTAGCAGTTTTACATATTAAATTCATGATATTGGCATAACTTTATTTTAACAAGGATGTAAATATTTTTTATTCTCAAAATCATAGTGCTTGCTTTTAATAACTGCTGCTTCTGACATTTTGAATGGTCTTTAGACACTTAGTATTTAATCTGGAAACCAAAACAAAAGAATGTTTTCATAAGCAAGAGACAGAGGCAGAAGCAGTACCTGGTGTGTTGTGATGTATATCTGCCCAGCGGCAAGAAGTTACAACAGCAGGTAAAGTACTGCTGCTGTGCAATCTCTCTTTTGGTTCCTGGGGTTTTTACCCTACCTAAATATAGGAACCAGTTCCTCTTTTCTGCCTGAAAGGGAGAAAACTGATAACCTCACTTAGTCTTTTAATCACTACTCAGTGCTGAGGGGCAGTCAAGGACTGTGTGGGTGGGTGAGTTTGACCAACCTACTGGCCTATTTTGAGCCTGGTTAAGGTCATAGGAAGTGCAATGTGAGCGCCCTGTACATGAAGTCGTGTGTGTCTCTAGTCTGTCTCAGTCTATCAGACTGTCTTGTAACTTGTACATTACAGATGAAAGGGAGAACAGTGAATAATGACTGAGGAGCAGAAGATGGATTTAAAACAATGGAATGTCCTTGGTCACCCTTTGGGGAACGCTGTTCAGCAATTATGAATCGCTGTGAACCTTCATTTTTGTGCTGTTCAATGCCTCAAGAGAACTTGTTTTAAAAGGGAAAAAATACAAATAAACATTCACTTGTCTTTGGCAGTTATTTGAAACAAAGCTAAACTAAATGTGTAACAGAGAGAAACCAGTCATATCAGTTTCCTAGTGTGTGGTTCAGCTTTGTAAAAGATTGCTTCGTCTCTCTCCAAGGAAGCAGCAAGAGATGCTATTTTTGTGTCTAGTTTAATGTTGACTCCAGACAAAGCTCTCATATTTTGGTTTTTTCTCTTTTAAAAAGGTTAGCATTCTTCCAAAACTATGCAGGCTTACCCAGCAGTGTAAGTCAGCTCTGCTACAATCATAGCTTTAGGAAGTTATGAAAATTTGAAGATGATCTAAATACTGCAGTGATTTTTTTTTCTCTCTCTTTCTACAGGAAAAGGCAGTCACATAGTTGGTTTAGTTACTGGTATCCATTTATCAACAGAATTCTGTTCATATGGTTCCAGTTCCTTTTTTTTCACTTTTTCTTTTCTTTCTATTTTCAGTGCTGAAACAAAGGATATGTACTTCCTAAAACAGTTGTTATTTCTGAAAGCCTTCTTCAGGCATAAGGTTTAATGAAAGGCTCCTGTAGCAGCTTATTGGTTGGGAATTAAAAGTATGGCCATTTTAATGACTTGAATGCTTTTCTTCTAATTTTATTGGATCAGAAGTCATGAGCTCTAGCAGATATCATGTGAAAAATCGTCCTTCTGAAGTTTTTTCGAATCCATAGACAAGTATTAGTGGGGTTTTCTTTTCGAAATAAATATGGCTTGCAGAAAGTGTTTCACTGAAACAGGTGGAAATGCTGCTGATATTTGCTTGAAGTTGGTATTTCTTGAGCTCTTGATTTCTTGATTGAAGATTTAAATTAAATGTAGCAATTTCATCAGCAAGTTTCAACTCAAGAAAATAAGACTGTGTAGAAGGAGAGACAGGACTTTGTGACTATACTTTTAATTAACTAAAAAGTCTGTAGATTTCATATTTTTTTACCACATAGCAAATAAACAAAAGCAAATTCATATACTGAATAAAGATTAGACTTAACAAATCTTTTGACATGTGGAAAATAATGAAAGCAAAATGCCAAAATATCCTTTTATTCAAAACAATGTGATCAAACCTTGAAATAATACTTACATCTTTAATTTTTTTTAGCTTCAGCTTTGTATTTTCTAGCCATCACTTTCTCGTGAGAAAACTTATGCCAGCTTATGCCAGATGTTCAGGTAGAGAAGGAATGCAATTTTACGGTTAAATACAAAGCAGTTGAAAACTGTACATTTAACAGATATCATCAGGAGAAGAAAATCACTTCTTTGTATTAACTAAAACAAAAATTTATTCCTTCCAGTGTAATTTTTTTGTTAATAATTTCTTCACAGTGATGATTTTGTAAGTTTCCAAAGAGAATTGAGTAAAATGAACAGTTATGGTTGCTGTTATGATCCAGTTATTAAAATTATTAGAAATGCCTCTACCTGAATTAAGGTGCAAACAAGACCAGATGCCAAAGTCAATAGTATGAGTTTTATTTAATGGTAAATGTGAGGCTGAGAAATAGAGATAGAAAGAAATAGGAAAAAGGAGGTGGGGAAAGAAAAAACCTGACAGAGAGAGATTAAAATAGAAAAAGTATCACCAATGTGGAACCTGGCACCATCCCATTGGTCCAGTTCTTTTGCTTTTCTTGGTGATGAGGGTCATGACAAACAACCTCCAGTGGATTAATATATGTTCAGGAGATGACCAGGCACCTTCCCTGGGGGGTCTTTTGGGACAGGTTCTGGATTTGTTGCCTTACTTGGCTCACGTATAGTCCTCTGGTGGTAGAAAAGGCCTCAGGAATAATTGGGGGGTGACTTTGGGGGTCTTTGATGGTTTGTGACCCCTTCTCAGCTGCCTTTCATGTGAGTGTCCCGTGTGTACATGATCTTCCCAGAACAAGGGGGTTTACTCCTTTGGTTTGGTGTGGAGAGATTCCACTATCACACATCCAAAATTCTTCTCCACCACCTCCTGAGCCCAAGTGGGGCTGATTCTTAACACAAATGCATCCTTTTTTTCCTGAGCCTGGTTTGCTTCTCCTCAGACTTGAGATGATTAGACAGCTGTCTTAAATCCTCAGTCACAGTCCAAATTCCAGTCAGGAGACACTGGGAGGGGAGGGTGCCTCGGTGGTCGCAGACAGGCAGTTGCTGCTTTGCAGTTTGACAAAAAGTTTTTCTAGGATTTTGATGATGTTCAAGACATTACCAACATTTCAGTCTGTCACAGTTGTGATGATACTTTAGCTGAGAACCTTTGACTGTTGCCTAGGGTGCAGTAGAAATATATTCAACACTTGATAATGCTTTCAATTGCTGCCTTCCTGTACAGTAAGACTACATGGTAGACCTGCTGTCTCTCTGTTTATTTTAGTAGTTGTTTTAAGGGTCATTAATGGCTGGTTTTTTGAGCTGATACAGAAACCCAGTTCATTCTGTTCCTTCCTGTGCTGCAAAAAGTTATTTGAGGATTTTCTCTCATTTCCCCACCCACCCACATCAGCCAGTTGATTGTAGTTCAGTTACAGCAGATGGACAGAAAGCAAAAGCTGACCTGTCCAGAATGGGAGATAAAAGGGAATACCCTATGCTCAGATGTGGAAGCCAGTTGGCAGCAGCTGCATTAAATTTTTTTCTCAGTACTTCAGGGAAAAAAAAATTCCTATGAAAAGTCAAGTATGCTAAAAAGCAAAAAGCTTAAGGAGTGATAAGTAAATATGACTGAGGTTACAACACACTTCTGCTGCATTTTATCCTGGAGGATCTCCAAGGACAGTTGAATAACATATCTGTCTTATCTTTAAATATAATCAGTATAAGATGACCCTTAGGCCGTGCCTTGAAAATTACAGTCCTTTACAAAAATACTATTACTAGAATTAAATATACTGCCAGCTGTTCATTGCTCCATACTACAACATAAGACCAGGAGACAAGAAAGGAAGTCGTGAAACTTCAATCATCTTTTCCTTTTGCTTGCTTACAGAATGTATATGCTTTATTCAGACACATCTTTTCTGTTCCGTAAAAGCAAATCGGATTTTTCAGGGCAAAACTGCTGTATGAACAGTGGGGAAAAAAACAATTTCCATATTTGTAATCTCCTCTTTTGTTTTCTCTTACAATACTGGTTACTGTAAAAGCTTGATAGCTGGTGGATTACAAAAGAAAAAAAAGAAACAAGACTGTTGGTTTTGGCAGTATATTTTTGTAAACAAGTGACCTAAATTGAAGCAGAAATTCTAACGGGAAAAAGACAGAGAACCAGAAGACTTTAGAATACAGCACAAAGCAGAGTCCCCACCAGATGGTATTTTTAATAAATTTATCAAGCGGATATAAAAGATGATAATGAACATTCAAAATAGGGAGTGGCAGACCCCCTAGAGAAAAGAAACAGTATGGCACATTCTGCACACTTCAATTAGTTAGAGTCACTTTCTAATTAGCTGATGTAGGGAAGACCACAGAATTATATTAAAAACACACCAAGGCAATTTCTGTGTGGTTGTTAAGGAGTTTGACTAATCAGGGTAACAGCTTCATAGGAGGTCATGGATTAGTGTAGAAATCTAGACATGAGAGGGAGCGGGATGATGCTCAGAGAGATGATGCTCGGAGGGTATGCAGGCAAAATACTGGATGAACTGAGCTGCACTGCATTCAGTCAATGCCTTACATAGCTTGGAATACGCCATGGAGCTTTAACATGAACATTGATTTTGACACCTTATCTTTGACTCATTTTTTTTTAATCAAGATTTTAATAGCTTCCTCTTCCTACAAAAAGCAGCCATATGTAGAAGATGCTTTAAAGCCTGTATAAAATGGATACTCAAAGAAGTACCCGTACTCCCAGAGAGGAGGGGAAGAAAAGGAAGTCAAGGCAAACTTTATTTCGACGCCAGTACTTTTAGTTTGCATTGTTAGTTTTTGTTTTATTCAGATTGTTCCCAGTGTAGTGCTTCTAATGTCTACCACCTGCTCCCAACAAGAATCTGGGAATTGTTGAATGCCTCTTTTCAGTAACTGGGGAATCAAGAGGTTTCTGGAATAATAATGTGGTGGGTTTAGTAATTTTTTTATGAGCAAACAGAGATGGTAGTACATTTGAGAGCACAGTAGATTTTTCAGAAATGGTTACTTTTCCACTGCCTTGGATTATTACTTGGCAACCAGCTTACTTTTTTCCCCCGGGGTGTGTTTTACGGTGTTTTGGTTGGTTGGTGGTTGTCCTAAGATTATGCTCCTGATACCAGTAGGGCACTTAAAACACGGAATCCCAGCTTTTTGTGGAAAATTATTTCTTTTTTGTGTGCTGGAGACTTATACAATAGCTCTGAAATTTCACATAGCTATGTTTCCGCCATTTTCAGATGTTGTAGTACTCTAAATACATATTTTAGAGGCAGCTATTAAAAATATGTGATTAAGTTGTCTGTGTACAGCAGGCTTAAAACGGTACAGATTGTTTGTCCTTTATCAGAGGATGACACACAAAATCTCAGATTGTTTTTTAATGCAGCCTGTGCTGAAAGAATTCTTGTTATCATTTAGATGAACAATCAGAGCTTCTAACATTTTCCCTCCAAAAAACAAGAGCTCAACAAGCAACCTTGATTTTCACATGTTCAGAGAGCATATTTTTCAGTCTTGTTAATTTTAATTTTTTGATTGAGAGAGGGAATAGAGAGAATTTTAGAATCTGAGGAGGTTAGCTAGAAACTGAGCTTTTTGGGAAAGTGCTGGACCTGATTGGGGCATGTAGCTTGGGGCATAAACCCAATGACTTTGGGGGTTTTATGTTATCTGTCATCTTGCTGGAAGGGGACATTCAAAAAGCTTAGGATTCTCTCTAAATTACAACTGGAAAGTGCCATACCTGATCAAATGTTAACAAAGGGAAATAATATGTAATTCGAGAAACAAGTGTTGAAGCACTTGTGAAACAGGGCTGGAAGAATACAGCCCAGATCAGCACTTTAAATTATCTCCCAGTTTTTATTTTGTCTCTGTTCATTTGTTCTTTTGGGGGTAGAGAGGGAAGTTTCATCATGAAAACAGGAAGAAACTGTTTTAAAGTTTCTGAAGTTTTGCTGGACAAGATATTTTTTCCCAATTGTATTAAAAGAGTGCTTTCATATCACCAAGACTGAAATCCATCTGTTAATTTACCAAGCTATTCTGGGATCAGTGCTGTAAAAATCATCTGTATCACTTGTTCATAGTTCACATTATATGAGTTAAATTTCCTTCTGTTGATCACACTTTGAATTTTCCTTTTTGTAACCAATCCTTTCCCATCAATAAAGTCCACTGGTATCTGAACTGTTTTCTGACTGTCTATCTGTCATCTTTATGTTTTTAATTCCCAGTTCCTACTGAAAATGTTGCAACAATTGCAGACTGTGCCAGTGTAATTGAGGGTGTAAGTCGCAGTCGTAATGCCTTATTGAATGGAGACACAAAAAACTATGATTGGGATTCTGGATACACATGCCATCAGCTTGGGAGCGGAGCTATTGTCGTACAGCTAGCACAGCCCTACATGATTGGATCGATACGGTAAGAAGGTTTATTCTTCTCTAAATTAAAGGCCTCAGTGAAACTCTCGCTGAGCAGTTATTGTCTTTAGAATATGTGACATTTGGAAACATCGTTAATTAGGGGACTAGTTTAGTAGCTGGGATTTGGCTTCTTACTTCAGTATAATAGGCGTGTTAAAAATTAAATGTGTGAATTATTTGTTGAGATACAGCAGTGCAATTCCTGAAAATGTTGCATTACAGAGGCATAATAATAGTAACAGTCAAATTGTAAGATTGAAGTGATATACTTATTTTAAAATAGAATTTAATTGCAGTCTCACTTTTGGTTAAGTAGGTGCAATTCCTCTTATCCACTTCATTGTGAAAATGATTTTATTGAACAAAATCATCACCTCCAGTCAGCCAGATGTCCTTTTCACTACACAATTAGTGCTAGTTCTTACTTAAACATGAAGAGTATAATAAAGGTACAGTAACCTGAATATTCCTTTACAGTGCTGGATTAATGCCTGTGTTTAGATTTGGATTGAAGTTCATTGGGCTCTTTCTACAGTGAATGTCTGTATACATATGAAGATCAAAGTGTTGGCTAACAGAGACTTAGCAAATAGATTGGAGAGTGGGATTTTTCACAGGTGAAGACAGAAATAATCTTGCAGACCTTAGATTCGCTGACTGTGAGTGTTTGGGGTTCTTGTTTCGTAAAATCAGTCATGCAAAGCCTTCTCTTTATGGCATCATGTTATTGGAAATTTAGAATATGTAGTCAGGGATGTGATTTGTATGCTTTGTGGCAATAAAATAAAGAGAAAGATTTCTAAAGTTCAGAGTACTAGTGAGCAAAGGTTGAAACCCCAGGTAAGTATGGCTTGCAACAGAGATCATGTACATAGATACGTATTTCTAGGAGCTCATTGCAGTCCACCTGTTAGAGCTGCCTCTTCAAACTGACTGATGAGCCAAGTGAGACTTGAAAGCTCTTTTGTAACTTTATAATTTCTGTTTTGTGTGATTTGGGTTTGGCCTGTGGCATTGTTATGATGGATGTAAAATTTAATCTTCGAAGTTTAAACTCAGACATTCTGGGCAAATCCGTTACCTAACAGAAGTAGTATTTTGCCTGTGTGCTAGCTTAAGATGTTATGCATAATCCAAGTTTGGCTTTGTTCTTGCTGAAACAAGTTGAATAAGTGTATTTGGTAGCTTTCCGCACGCAGTGTTTTATGCCTTTCAGTTTGATGTTTTTAACGTTCAATTAAGTATTGCATCTCAAGTAGAAAACAAGGAAAATGCAGCACTAAGATTTCTTAAAATAGATAAATTAAATGTAATTGCATCATTTTCCTACCACTTTAAACTTAAATAATAGCAAAGGCTTTGACCACATGAAGGAGTAAGACAAGAAAATAGTAGTCAATATTCATAGTTTCTTGGTTCATAATCTGTCTTCCTATCTTACTGTTATCCGCTACATTTCAATTGTTGAAAAGTATCATATTTTCCAATCAGTGAAAAGCCTGACTTTCCTATATTCACACTATGCTAGTGTTTATTCTTGAGGGAAGATTTTTAATAAGCCTTATTATTAAATAGTGAGTTGGGTGAACTAGACTTTTGGTTGCCAAGAAATGATAATTATATTATCAGCAAGGGTATAGAGCAAATTAAAAAAAATAACCCAAACATTACATAATTTAAAACTAATAGGCATTTAGTGATTTATGTGGTATTGCATTGTACAGCTACAAGATCAGAATATCATCTTTCTCTGTCAGTTTTTCTGCATGTGTAGTAAAAACCAGATTAATAACTTACTTTAAGAAAACAACAGTGTTATCGTATGAGATATCTTTTGACAGAGGAGGCTACCTGCATTGCCTAGAGACAGAAATCTGCTTGTGGGTGTGGATTCTAAATTAATAATTAGGAATTAAAATACGTATCGTTTAAGTTCAGAAACACAAATGTGCCATCGAATATATTTGTTTCAGAGAGGGTAAATACATGAGCCTTTGAAAACAGTGGTGTCTGCTTTTAGCCTGTAGAAATCAGAATACCACTGGCGAGAGGCTCCAAGACAGAAGGTGTTACCATGGCAACTAAAGTCTGAGAATGAAAAAACAGAAGTACTCTTGGTACTCAAATATGCCTTACAAATGCACAGAGAGTTTAATGTTTCAAGAGTATATATATGTGTGTGCATGCTTTCTGCCAAAGTCATTCGTTGTCCTAAAATCTTAGCATCCTTCATGCTGGAAGGGAATTCTTCTTCCTCAAGAAGACATCTAGCCCAGCTTGTTTCGCAAAGGGTTGTCATCTATGAAAAAAGAACATACCACTCAGGCCTTTATGCACTCAGCTCTTGAAAACCTCCAAGGAAGGAGATTCCACAACTTCTCTGGGTAGTCCATGATAACCTGCTCTTAGGTTAGTGGTAGTATTCACTCTTAGGTTCCTTCCCAACCCTAGGCCTTCTTGGGCTAAACAAACCAATTTCCGCATCCTCTTGCACAGTGTGTGTGCTCCAACCTCGTGGCCATTCTGACGGTCCTCTGCTGGAATTGTTCATATCTACCACTTAGTGAGAATCAGTATGCCAGGTGTGATCTAACAAGTGTCAAGTAGAGAAGAATCATTTCTTTCCATTGTTCAGCTGGCTCAGTTCCTGTTGTTGCAGCTCCACTTGCTTTGTGGCTGAGAAGGCTCATAGGCAACTAATGGTATCTTCTGTTCGATTTGACTCAGGAATGCCATGGGAGACCATGGGGAAAGTTTGTTAATATTGAATACTTTTTCAGGTATTTGTATATAAATTTGGAGCTCTTGACTTACATATCAAAATTTACTCAGAAATTCTGAAAAGATGTAATGACAGTCAGTGCTCAATAGTATTTTGTAACAGAGAAGACTTGGAAAACAAGGAGCTTGAACTAGATGACCTTTTAAAGTCCCTTTCAACCAAAACTGTTCTACGATTTTGTGATTTTTTTTTTTTTTAAATAATTGTAACTAAATTGTCTTTTAGATTATAAAATAAAAAAAATAAGATTTTTTTTTTATTGTTAATACTTGGAGCAGCTTACAAGATATTTGGAACAGTTAACAGACAAAATACTGGGTAGGTAGTTTTTCCACGTAGTTGCCTGTCTGGACACAAAATAATGTTCTGCTTTTCTTCTCTGAAAAGGCCCTTCCTTATCAATGACAGAAAAAATATTTAATTAGGAAGAAAAAGACAGCGATTGTTGTGTGCAACATACTAAACATATTTAAACTAAGGCTAAAACTTTTTAATACTGAAATAGCTGTCATATCACAACTACTCTCTAACTCTCCCTGCATTTTTCTGGAATAGAAATATAATACTATTACGCTACGGTCTTTGCCTGATTTGTCCTCTGAATTTGAAAAAAAAAAAAAAAAAAAAAAAGAGATTTGTTATAGTGTGGAGGGAGACAATTATTATGTAACAGTGATTTTTATGTTAGAATAAACAGAAATATTTTGCGTCTTTAGAAAAGTACATTAACCACTTATGCGAGTTGAATTTATTTGAAGACTTTATTGTTAATATGAATACATGATAACTTTTCATATTCAGAGTGATTCTTAAATTAACAAAGAACATCAATGAATTTTTGCTTGTACCGTCATAATATACATCTCGTATGCTTCCTGATTTTCCATACCACTTCTGCTTAGGTAGATTTTCGTTCTTTGCTGCTCATTTTCTGTACTTGTCTGACATGGGAGTGTAATCATAACTCAGAATGAATGACCATAGAAACACTTAGCACATGTGCAGGAATTTTGTCTCCTCTGTAAGATCCTGAAGGACTGGTTTCTTTCAGGATAACTTCTGAAACATAAGTATCTGTACAAAACTGAAGAGGTTTATAGACATCCAGAGGCAAAAATGCCACAAATATTGTATAAAGAAACCTCCTCCCATGCTGTTTTGGGTTTTCTTTCTTTTTCTTCATCTTTCGAAAAATGTCACTACCTCATGTTTTAATTTCTGTCTTTTGGATTTTTAAGGTATGCAAGTGATTTATGAACACAGTATGATCAAGTATTTATGCCATACGTTTAAATAGTGACTTAATAGTATTCAGGAAACAGGTGTCGTCCTGTCAGATGCTCGACTAATAGTGTTTGGTATTATGCCAACACCTTGAGTACCTGAAGTCATACAGCACTCTGAACTGAGCAGTGACAATCTTTTTTTTACAGAAATCTAGGAATAAAAAGCAAGCAGAGATAGCACAAAATGCTTGTAGAAACACAGAACATTCAGTCATAGACCAACACATGCCATTCAAGGATATACTGTTTTAAAAAAGGCTACAGCATCTTTTTATGTAACCGGTAGCCAATATAATCAGTTTCCCACACCTGTAATATGAAATTTTAGTTATATTTTAAAAACTTTTGTTTTATAAAGTGAGGCATTGTCAACATGTGATGCAAATAATTATGTCATATTAAATTACAGGCCTAGACTCTACCCAAAGAAGAAATGTGTTTACATCTCACAGTATTGCAGGGTGAAAGCTGGATAAATCTTCATTTGACTTTTCCTTCTTAATCCCGAGGGCAAGATTTATTAATGAGCTAATTTAGCTTTTTATTCTAATATGGAAATTTCCTAAGAGCATGAGCAATTTTTCTATAAACAGATGCATTTCCAATGGGTATAGTTCTAACTTTGTGACTGGAGTATTCTTCTTCGTGTCATTTAATATCCATCTTAGAAAAAACATAGCTTTTCTACAAAAGTTTAGCTTGGTAATTTGCCCAGAATGTATTGCAAAGATTATTGTACCTGGCATAAAAAGTGGCCTTTGTGCTCAGTGTGCACTGGTGAATATTCATGTTGTCAACTGAAAGGTTTTCACTGCTTATACAGAAAGGCTTTCAAGCAGAGTAAATTCCAAATAGGTTCTATTGTCAGTCTCCCTCCCCAGTCTTTCGTAAGAAAGCTACTGGAGAAGAAAGAACTTCTAATTTTCTTTCAGAAGTACCAAAGAAACAAAAATCTACATTTAGTATTCATGCCAAGTCACTTTAGGAAAGATTCCTCCAACTTCAATTACTCATAGTAATAATTCTAAGCCATATGCTTTTCTAAACCTATTTAACTTGAGCTAGGTTGTTTCGGGAGAGAGCAATTATACATGTGTTTGAAAAGTATCACACATGTCCTGTTAGCCTTTTGCTCTGAAGCCAAGCCAGTTGTGTTTTAATTAGAGTATTGTTAGTTGAAATGACAGTCACCAGTGTGCTTCTGATATTCAAACTCTTGATCATAGCTTTGAAAAACATGGATCAAGGAAGCAACACTGAGTCCCCATGATTAAAGGATTCTATTGAAAAGCGTAATTAGCTACATTTTAATAGACTTTTTGAAAGAAAACAAATTTATGAATGTTTTTACTTTTCCCTCTTTTTATCATTTAGAAGACTTGGTTTAAATATAAATTTTAAATCAATTCAGGACCTGTTGATTAGTAGAAGTTACCAAATACGGGATTGTAATCAGTAAACCTTTGTTTTTTTAAGAAAATAAGCTTCATTCAGTGTCTTCAGTGTTTGGAGACCTTCAAGCCACAGAAAAGCAGAATGGGGATGATTTGATGAAGGAGTGGGGTTGAAGTTGGGTGGTTTTGTTTTGGGGTGTGGGATTTTATTTAAGTCTTTCATGGTGCCACAGGCAACTATTTTTATTTTTTACTAAGTCAGGTCTGAATCTTTTAATTTGCAAACAGTCAGTATTAATACGTGCTAAAACACTTGTATTAAAAATGTTTTATTTTAGCTTCTTAAAGCTACTTTTGATAGCATATTATTTTTGATAATATTAATAAGCTAGATCCAGCATCAAGGGAATTTATTTTGAATCTGCTTGTCCACTAAACCTACTTCCACTTTGAATGCTGAGATTTCAAAACCTAAAAAAAAAAAAAAGTGCTAAACAAAATTGTTTACCTCTATACTTGGCACTAGTGAGGCTGCACCTCAAACACCAAGTCCAATTCTGGGCCAAATATCGCTTAGCACAGGGCAATAATCCCCGTATAAAGAAAAGTAAAGAAGATACATTTGCCAGATGTGTGTTTTGGTACTTAAGCTAAATAACATCCCTGGTGCTTTAGGTCTTACAGAGAGGAATACAAGCATGGAAATCAAAGGCTATTCAATATGTAATTTAGTGCCCTTCCTGAAGAGCTGCATGTTTGTTAGAATAAATATGGAATGAGTCTTTAAGACTTTTATGGTCTTCCTTTTTCTTCTGCCTTTTTAGAAATTTGTTTAACAATTTGTTGCCTTTTTTGTCGTATTCTGATGAACCAGGGCTGGGAATTCCCGTTTCCCTACTCATTTTTTAGTTTTGTTTTGTGTATTTTTTTGTTAAATGTATTTATGATATATTTACCAAAGCCAAGAGAACAGAGTTAAGAAGACAGCTTAATCCTTTGAAATCACCCGATTCTTTTTTTCTGTCCCCTCCTAAACTGACCTGTTGAGACAGATCTTCATTTTGTGTTTAAAGCAGGCAGTGCCACATGCCAAATAAATTGAAAGTAATTGGATGAATGTAATAGATTAATATTCTTAAGATGGTTATTAAAAGCCTGTAAGTCTATTACTGGCCTTAGGATAATAAGAATAGAGACACAGTAGTTTGAGATAGGAGAAACAGTAAAGACTTTGCTGAGTGCTAGAGGTACATTTCAAAAGAAACAGTTACATTTATAAAGGATTAAGTGGAGAAAATAAAGGACTGGAAAGCTTCTTTACTTATCATTCAACAACTTGTTCATATTTAGGTTGCTACTTTGGGACTGTGATGATCGGAGTTACAGCTACTACATAGAGGTTTCAACGAATCAGCAGCAGTGGACTATGGTGGTGGATCGCACAAAAATTTCCTGCAAGTGAGTTCAGTTTTTTTCCACTTATTTGCACAAAGTAAGAACTGAAAACTGGTTTTTCTGGTGGGTTTTTTGTTCAGTACTTACATAGGTTACTGTGAAAAGAATGATCATTACATAACCTGTAGATTAATGCAACTTTAGAGGGTAACAGCTTCTACTGTAACTGAACATCTAGACTTTCAGACCAGAATCAATTTCTTAAGAACCACATCAGTACTGGATCTTCAGATAATCTATTGGATTGTTCATTCTTAGAAACAGTCTGCCTACCCTACCCTTGATTTTGTGATCGCTGGAAGTTAAACCGTGTTTTTCTGGAGATCAAATGTTTATGGTGACCCCTGGTGTCAAATCACCCTGCCTTGAGAAAAGTGGAAAGAGAGGGAAGAGAGTACATTTGGTAAAGGATTTTGTTAATCAAATGTCTTTCTCCCCTGTCAAAGCACATAAATGTATTGTATGGTATTTGAAGGGAGTGGGGAGAGTGAGGGCAGGGACCAAAGCATAACAGACCAAACAGTTACCAAAGCTTGACCTTGTCTCTGTTCAAAAGCAGAGTACCTGGCTTATGTGTTGACCACTCTGCTTTTGGAAAGGACCTTTCCATAGAACGAACATGCTTCTTAAACAGAGATAAAGAAGAGAGAAAAACTGTTATATTTTCGTTTGAATATTTAAATCAGGACAAATCAGGCATGAGTATTCTCCACATATATACTCTCCACTGGCTTTTCTGCAATTTCTGCTGATGAAACCTATTCTTCTAATATGGATGAATAATTTAATGTTGGTAGCCTTCTTAAACCATGTGAACATAGTTCTAATTCCTAGCAAAGAATGACCTAGATACTGGTCATGGGACTGAAAAGACAGTCTGCAAATTTATATATTACGTATCCAGAAGCCAGGTGTGCTCAGCATTCAGTGAATGTTGACAGGACATGATTTCCTGTCTAAGCCCCAGGGAAGCTCAGAATTATAAAAGCCTTATTTTCCTCCTTTTCCCCGAGTAAGTTTTCCATAAGATATGCTTTCTTTCTTGGGACAAAATTGAAGTCATCCGCCCCCACCCATCTTGTATTTGTGCCAACCAAAACAAAATTGATTTTACAAATTCAGAGATGTATCTCAGTTTGTCACATCGAGCGAGAGAATTATTCAGTCCTTTGTAGCAACGCTGCTGACACACGTTTTTTTAAAGTTTATATTCCCTCTCTTAACAAACAATGCAACTCAAATGCTTTACAATGCGCTCTAGACACGTTGGTGAAGGAGAACTTGACACGTCCTTTCACTGTCTGTAAAGGGCAGGGTATTGATGAGCAGAAAACCTGTGTTCTGCCTGCAGGGCTGGAGAAGGACTAAAGATTTAATCATTCTCAAAGACATCTCAGCGTAATAGATAAAATTCATCTTTTTGTCTGCCTCCAGCAGTGGGAGAACTAAAAGGCTGAAACCACAAAGGAGAGAGAGACACTCAAGCATCTTTGTGCATTTTTTCCTTGAACATTTTGATAGTAAAAGCCTATAACAATCAGAAGAAGCACTTGCTTAAGTATGCACAGTGCAGGTGAAATCGCTGATTGACTGCCCAGTTCAAATATCTTCACACAGTGTTCAAACCACACTTTTGTGTTTGTTTTTTTTTTAAAAGCCTTGACCTTGGGCAAATAGAGATGCATACCTGAAGTAAAGACAGCTGCCTTCTTGGGATATACTTCAAAATCTCGATTCAAAACATAGGTGCTCTGGAAGTTCTCAAAGCTGTGGCTGCAGGAACTGTTTTCATGTGGATTAGAGAATTGCATTTTGCCTAACTTCTTGCTCTGACAGATACGTGTTCAGCTGGCATAAAGCTATAATCTTGAAGTCTGCAGACACAGAGTGTCCTAGCACTGTCTGTAACTATCTCCTCTAAATAAATAGAAAGGCTGATCATAAAGCTTGCAGAGTTCACTGAATGTCAATTTTCAGGTGATTTCTTTGCCTTTGACAGTGCTTTTTCGTGTTCGATTTATATCTCTTGCCCTTTATGATCAGTGAAATGGACTTTTTTTTTTTTTTGCAGTTACAGAAAACTTAAAATATGTTGTTTTATTTTCAGGTATTATTTGCAGAAATGCTGAAATTAGTTCATCTCAAAAATTACTTTTATTGTAATGGCAGGTTGATAACTCTAAATAAGTATATCATATAGAAAAATAAATGTTTAATATCTATAAGATCAGTGACAACTAGACCGTACTTTTTTTTACTGAAAAATACTGAAATACAGTACTATGACCTAGAAAGCCATACTCTTAGGGCTTTAAAACAGCTGAATGTAGAATGAAAGAAAAAACATCATTCAATGACTCATGCACTAAATGAAGGTCCTCACTTAAAATTAAGGTAAGCTTTCAATATGGTAATAGAGACATCTTAATGAAGAGGGAAAAAATGGAACCATTCACTGCTAGTGACTTTTTGGGTTAATTCTTTTAATGTTAAAAAAAATCTCAAATTGAAAACATGAGGGTTTTTTCCCACAAAAACAAACAAGTTATTTTCACTTTATATGATTTTAACACCAACAACAAACAGAGGAGATAGTTGGATTTTAACCAAAATTAACGGATGCTAGTAAGGTGGAAGTGTTACAGTTTTTTCTGGTTTACTGTCATAGTGTAAGGATGAAGATACTGCTGGATGCAAGGGATTTCATGGGTTTTTTTCTGTCTGTCCTTCCTCTTAGCACTATTACACTAGTATGTTATGCAAACAGCACAGCTCAAGAGAAATCTGCCTCTGAATGTCTTTTAGTCAAGTGATTCACAGACTTCCCAAAGAAAAGCAAGGATCGAACTCAAACCATGTGCCTGGGTTTGACTCACCATCAGGTTTAGGCAAACAGTTAAAGATACCTGCATTCAGTAATCTTCCTTAACCAAACTAGAGCATAAAGGGGTAGAAACCAGAGTACGCTCATCTCTTTCTGCATTGTATGTTTCTGAATGCTGCACTCGTCTCTCACCTGGATGAAACAGAACGTACCTTTTGCTGATGTGGTCCAATTTTGCAACTGTTTTTTGACTCAGACAAATCCTGATTTTTTTTGATTAATACTTTGACATACCATCCCAAAAAGGACTAATCCTGTATTGGTATAGAAATTATCTTCACTTAAACAAGAAGTAGATACGTCCTTCCATGGGACTATGATGGCCTGTTTGACAAGTGCCTCTGAGAGCAACAGTCAACTAAGAATCATTATACATGTGTTCATGTCAGGCTAAAATATGAATTCTTTCTAAAAACTATGCTCCAAATTACATCTGATTCTCTACGAAGTTCTGGAGATGTGAGTGCAACATAAGTGGTTGATAAGGTCCTGAAATCCTGAGTTTACCCTTCCTGGCATTAGTTCTGTGTTTAATATGCTGCAGTACACTGCAGAAAAATAACTCACTTTTTAGTGTAGGAAGTGAAAGTTGATGGAGTTAAAACATAGGAGAATGTCACAGGAGCTCACATTTAAAGAGACAAAATGCTTTCACCGTGAGAAAATTTACATTACTAGTAATATTCTCTATTCGCTTTCCTGTCTTCAAAGATGTACGGGTAAGAGGTGTTTCCTTTGCTGGCTTTTGGTCTTCCTGGTCTTGCAGTGGAGTTACAGACTTTCATAAAAGTCATTAGCCCACTGTCTTGCAAGTGTCCTGTGAGGTTTCCAAATAATTTTGCTCAATCTCTGGCACAAGCAGTAGGATGAACCACAAGGGTACCAAACACAAACCTCAACAGACACCTAAGGGATCAGGAAGTGGCAAACAAAACGATGAGAAAGAAAATTAAATTATGTTTAAACAGCTTATATTGGTTTTGGCAGATTACTGAAGCCTGAACTTCCCCTTTAAACTATCAGTGTGCTGCTTTAGGTTGTTTTAATGGCATTTTTAATGTAGTCTTTTGTGTAAATTAATAATTCAGTGCTCAAAGGCAGGAACTGACAGGCTACTCCTAACCTTCTCTTCTTCCAGTTTTAAAAGGCTGAAGACAGAAACTGGGTGTCTGTTATCTTCACAGGGGAAGCTTGTGTACCTTCCCTAAGTGAGAGCCAATTAATGCATACTGGTTGTGTAATTGACAATTTTCAGATGCTCTGTGGAGGCTTTTTTTTTTTTTTCTTTTCCGCAATAAGCTGTTTCTCTCTACACAGTATGACAGTAATGAAAAACAGTCATGTTCCCTTCTATTTTTAAAAACATTTATTATAAGTGGACTCGAGCATGTTAGTGTTGAACAACAGAGACTTGAACTTGTTAGAAGAATTTGCTGACAGAGTCTGAAAGTCAAATGAAAAACAGAAGATACCAAAGGCCAGTAGGAGAGTCAGACCTCAGAGTTAATGACACTTCTGATAAAATAAACCCTGCAAAGACAAATACAAAGCAGGCTATCACAATGCTCATCAACTCAATATCATTCTTTAAAGTTCTCCTGTGTAGCTATTGTGAAATGGATCTAATCCGTTGGCAGCAGGCATACTGTGTTCAATTCCCCAGTAGGAAAAAAGGATCTAATACTCTGATAGAATTTGGAAAACAATGAATATTATTTGTGGATCAACAGATATAAGGCAGTTTGTATCACCTGTCTATATGACTGGTTTGGGAGTTTTATGATTTTCTTGTGGGCATTACCTCGTTTTTGGAAGGTTTATAACATACAGCATTATATATTGTGTGAAAATTTTTGTTATTCAGAATATATTGCTGTTATGATAAATGTTTAAAAACTTCCAAACTTAATTTCATGTTTCCATTGTTTGTTATCTTATATAACAGCTATTTCAAATTCTGAATCTAAGCTCAGTTCTGAGAATTTTTTTCTGTAGTACTTCTGCTTTAAACAATGTTGGTGGCAAACTTGGGGTTTGATTTTTTTTTTTTTCCCTTCGGTATACTTTTGTGAAACCAGTTTAGTATCTATCATGATATGATTATTTCTTCTGCTATAGA